TATTCTTTATTTATTACACAGTTATAAATAAGTAATAAGCATATAAATTCACATAATACTCAAATATTTCATCTTTATTATCTCAAAAAGTGTTACAATAGTTGACCTAGACTATTACATCGTCTAAAAATGCTTAGCCCCGAAACGCGGGCATTACAGTAATCCACTCCAAAGGCCCAATGGGCCGAAAACTATCAATTTGGGCTTCACATGACGAAACTCAAACACTAAGGTCCAAATCTTTTCTCCTCCTTCTCTCTCTCTCGGCCCAAGTAGAAAAAAAGGGAAAAAGATGTAATTAGGGAGGGTTGACCTTGGAGGTGTCACCTCCTTATTACACCCCATACCTCCATGCAAAAATCCAACATATATCCATGATAGTCATTTCATCACCTCTCTCTTCCCTTCTCTTTTTCTTCTTCGGCCGAGAGCACAAGTAAACACACACACTCACAACATTAAACTTCTTCCAAACTCTCTCAAGTATTCTCCTCATTCCCACTCCAAAATCTCGAAATTTTGCTTGTGCACCAAGAGGATTTCAAGAGAATATCATCACTTCTTGGTAAGTTATACATATCCAAGGATTATATAACTCTTTTTCTCATGATTAGATCCCTTCCCTTAAACATTTTTGGTAATCATACTCCTAGAATCACCTCAAGTTCGAGATCCACATCAAGGTGTTGCTAGGACCAAAAGTCTTCTTCTTATCTTCTTCAAAAACCGAAACAACTAAGCAAGGTGAGTTCATACCCCTCTATTTTCGGTTTCACATGTTTTATGGGGGAGAATACAAGTAAAATGTGTAGATCTATGTGTATTTGTATGTTATGTGTGATTTCTTGTGTTTATGTGGTAAATATGTGCCAAAAACTATAGATATTTCGAGATCTATAGTTCAAGAAGGAAAAATATGTGATCTAGGATGTATTACACTTAACAAGTTAAGAAAAACTACCATATAAGGTTTATAATAAGCATGTTACAACATAAAACTCATTATTAGACTATTTTTGTCAAATAAACAAAAGTTGGGGAAAAAGTTGTCATTTACGGTTTTTACAAGGCTCAAAAGGTCAAAACAGTTTAAATAGAATTTTTTTATGAACATTATGCTTTTCAAAGGACTAAAAAATGTAAATTGTAGCCTATTGGGCTTTTCGACCCATAGGCCCAAATTTGCGAAAATATGGTTTTAAGGGGCTGAAATGGAAAGTTTTCTCAAAACAGGGGCTATAAACGTAAATAAACCTATTTCAGGGGTTAAAATGGCCTTATTTATCAAAAGGGACTAAAAATGCAAAGATTTTGGATTTTGGGTAAAAAGTGTAAAAATTGTGAAAAGTGTGGATTTAAATGCAAACCTTCTAACTAAGGGGCTGAAACTGTCCAAAATAAAACTTTGGGCTTCAAACATTATTTAATTAAGTGTTTAGGCCAAAAATGTCAAGAAAAAGAGTTCAAGGACCTAATATGTCATTTTTTTTATAAAAAGGGCTAAAAATTGCCAACTTTACCAAAATAAGGGCTGAATAGGTCAAACTAATATTTTTGGTCAATTATGTTAATAATAAAATAATTGGGTCAAAATATACAAAACTTTATAACTTATGGGTTTTAAATAGAAAAATAACTAATTTTATAAATCTATGAATCGTTATAAAACAAATTCGTGATTATTACAGCATATCGATTAAACAACTTCGCTACTAAATACTATACAAAACAAGTAAACATTCTAATGGTTGGGCTTGAGAGATTCTAATCATGCTTATTGGGCCTTCGTGACCAATTAACATGACTTTTGGGCCCAACATAAATAATACATGTTATTGGGTCTCCTGTGACCCAATTACATGCTTAAGGGACCCTCAATGGTTTTTACATGCTATTGGGCCTCAGTGGCCCATTAGCATTACTAGTAAGGTCCAAATAAATCATATGCGAAATGGGCCAATGCGCCTTTCGTATACTCGACAGCCTTAAATAACATACGAAATTAGTAGGGTCTAGTAGTCCTCTTCTCCTCGTCTGTTAGGCTTACCTTCACTTCAAGTAAACTGAAATCAGGTCATTAATCAAGGTTAATCAAATTCATGTGGATTAAGTGAGTAATAACGGGTGACACCAATAAGTGTCGGTCGTAGTCTGTAGTTGTAATCAAAGTCTCCTGGAGGGAGAGCGAGAGTTTGTGTATAGATCTATACGGGGGTGACTCCCCCACACCTAAGTTGTTCGCTACAGTTAGATTCGGCTAGTCTAGGGTGACAAAATCTTAAGATCAATTTCGGTGTTCATTAGAATGCCAAGACAGACGAACTAGCCATTATCACGCATGGTTATAACGACTCACGTAGAAATCCGATATCATTTAAGAAATCAAGGGAAATCATATTCATTCGATGTGACGATACAATAATACAAAGCAATCATAACTTTTATCGGAAAACATCGGGTTTTCCGGGGAAACCAATCTTACTCATTCGTACTTTCAAAAACTCTAATGCAAAACTTCTCATTTGTACACGTTTTGAAATCATTCACGCATATACTTACAGGATCATCACACACATTTTCATGACAAGTTTTATTACAGAAAATATCGGATTTTCTGGCTTTTACGAACGATATAAACTATTTTACATCAAACACACTTATGAACTCACCAACATTATATATGTTGACCGTTTTCAAAATAACTTGTATTCTCAGGTAATCGTTAGAACAAGGAAGCATCCAGGGTATTGAAAGTTTCTTTTGTAGTTGCTAATCACCAAACACTTTATATTTTGAGATCATGTAATGTAAACCATGTACTTGATGTAAACAATGTCAGTTGTACTATGTAATGTTTGGTGATGAATGTGTTATGTTTCATGTATATTTATTGTGATGATATTTCAATTTAAGTCACGCGAGCCGTCAGACGTTTCCGCCGTCTGGTTCGGGGGTGTGACAGAGACACATTGACCGGAAGGTCATGCGATGCTACAGCCTCAAGAGGCTATTACGTGAATGTGGTATTTTGGGGAACTCACTAAGCATTATGTTTACCGTGTTATGTGATATGTGTTTCAGATACTAGCAAGGATCGCGGGAAGGCGTCGACATGATTTGTACACACTGGCAGAGGATTTTGTTTTGAGATTCTGGGATGTGTTTTATTGTGATGACATTTGTTACACATGACATTTTGAGAATATTATATGAGTTTTATTGTGTTTGAAAAATGAAAAATTGTTTTGAAATTTCACGTCGTTACACCTAAATTCTTTGTTGCTATAGTAGGTTTAGTCCTTGAAGTTATCTGATATCAGTTATGCAAATTTGTGTAAATATGAGTGTGTAGATATGAGTTTGTAAATATGTCTTTGTATCTATCATTTTGTGTATCTATCATTTTGTGTACATCTGGTCTTTTAATCTTTATATTCTTCTTTAATATAAGTAATTTATGTTTATGTTTATTTAACTTTTTTTTAGATTATGACAAATAATGGTTCCCATTTACAAAACGTTTTACATTTATTTTTCATATTCCATTCGATATATATTTTTCTTGTGTACATCAGTACATGTTTAAAAGAATCCAAACTTTCATTTTTAATTCTTATTGATTTCGGCATTACTCTTATTAATAATTTATTAGATGTAGTAAACTATCTGCGCAAACAGTAATCGTCTTTAGAAAAATAATCTCTAAAATAAATTATTCGTACTCGTCGCTTAGCGCGGGTAAACGGCTAGTATATATATATATATATATATATATATATATATATATATATATATATATATATATATATATATATATATATGACACTAAAAGCTTATATATTTGTTACTAATTTTTTTAATACAAAATTAGTATATTGTTAGTCATTTTATATAAAACAGCTGTTATTGCGGTGATATTTTTTAATAACCGGATCAAATTCATTGAATATCAATTGTAAATCTTATTTAATTTGATTGTTTACTAAATTATGTCATTAAAAATATCTATTTTATTCAACTGTTTACTGAACTATATAAATATATGATGGATGATATGCGCCATAATGGTGCCAATGTATAGATGCTATATGCCGTATCATTATTGCATCACTATATATGTCATCTCAATTTTGACAAAGTTTCGACACACGGCATGTTTATTTTTCTATTTAGGCCGAGGGGAGTGGAGCTCACAGAACTCCAAATAAGAAGCTCCAATAAGGCGTCATGGAGTGGTAGTCAGAATCAAGTGCATTATGGGCTCGGTGAACACTAAGCTACAAACTCGTTATGCCGAGTTCGGTGGCTTAACTTGGTATGTATCTGTCAGAGCTATTCCTTTCTCTTTACCTCTTCTCTTTCTTCCATGCCTTCTGTTTTGGCATTATGTTCGGCATAGATGGAAATGACTGAGGTGTCGAGGTCAATTACCCAGGAACCACTCCCCTCACACTAAGAAAAATGGAAGTAGGAAAAAGAGAGGAAGAAGAGTAGTGATGGTCTACCCGAGTTGGTCAGAAAAAGGAGAAAAAGAGGTGAATTGATGGAAAAGCTCAATAGCTGGTGGCCGAGGTGGCCTCAACTCGGCATGCCATAGTTTTTCCTTTGACTGAGTTTTGGGAGTAATCCCTCATAATTTTTAAAAAAAATTAATTAATTAATTACTGTTTGTTGTATTTGTCGGAAATCTTTAGAGATTTTTTTAACAGATCAAGTTCATGGGAAATTTCCATAAAAGATAGCCTACTCTGTAGTAGTGTAATTATCTCGCGTACTCTAATAAAATTGAGAAGTGAAGAGCCGTCAAATTTATTTTACTAGTAGAATAGCTTTGAAAACTTATACATGAGTTACATATTATTGCATGACAGGATAGGAACAACATGTGAAATGATCTGTGCAACATATATAAAGGACTTCTTTATAGATTTGAAGCTAGTCTAGATATCAAGATGAACTTCACAACTGATGCATCATTTAAGCACCATAGATATAGCATATTATAGCGTGAAGCTAATTAATGGGGGTTTCACTTCATTTCTTTTCGTTACTTTGACCATCAAGCCGTACTTCATTTGTAGAATTACCGAGCCACTTTGGGTAAATGAATGTCCTTCCACCATTTTGACTTGGTAGTTATATATAATTGTAGCTGCCACAACTTTCATATGAATGAATGACATTTTCTTACCAAGGCAAGCTCTTGGTCCTGCATGGAATGCTGTAAACTTGTAAGATGGAACCTGTTTAATCCCTCCTTGCTTAGAGAGCCATCTCTCTGGCTTGAAATCCAAAGCATCTTCTCCCCATATTGTCTCCATTCGTCCCATTGCATATGAATGTAGAATTATTATGCTGTTTTTACGGACTTGGTGACTGCTTGGCAATGTGTCTGCTTCATGTGAAACTTTGTGGTTGAGAGGGACAGGAGGGAATAACCTTAGTGCTTCACATAATGATGCATGTAAATATGCCAACTGTCCCAATTCTTTTGCACCAAAACTTTTCCATTTGTCACCTTCTTTCAACCCTAATTGTGCATGAAGTTCCCTGCGGATCTTGGCTTCTGCTACTGGATTTTTTGCAAGGAGATAAAAAAACCAGGTAAGAGCTGAGCTTGTGGTATCTCTCCCTGCAATCAGAAGATTGAGCAAGGTGTCTTTGATAACTTTTTCATGGTTGTTACCAAAGCTACCAGTCTTGTCCTCATATTCCCTCGTAAATCCTGTTAGTAACGTGTAATCTTGTAATTGCTCACTCTTTACGTCACAGATCTTAGTTTTCTTACCTCGTTTTTCATTTATAAACTTGTAAAATAACTCATCACTTAGCTTGCATGCATCAGTCATATGTTTCTCATTGCCTATTTGAAGTTGCTTTTGCAACTTCCAATAGTATTTTGGGAAAATATGTCGACTGAAGAGTGCCTCTTCTGCCTTGGTGATGGCTCTTTCGAGTTCATTGTATGGAAGATTAACAGACAAGGTCTTAGGATCATAATCCATAAGTAAATTGCAAATACCATCAAAAGTGAGCCTCTTGAAGATGTCTTGCAAATCCCTCTGGGATCCTTGTTCTGACATGGATTCAAGAACGGGTATAAGCTCTTCCTCCACGTTCTTCCAAATCGTTTTCTCCAACAGCATCAAGAATCCCGCATCATTGAAGAGCGACATGGTTGTTTTATGTTGCAATTCCCATAACTTGGAATCACAATTGAAAATGCCATCTCCAAGTATATCGAAAATCTCTCTAAAATCTGGACCTTTCGGGTAATTATGAAAGTTGGTGGACGATATGTAATGATAGTTGGCTGGATCACTGGTGAAGATCATGTCCATGTTCGCAAACCAAGGGCCTTTGTACATGATTGTCCCACCGTTTCTTCTCAAAACATCGGTCATATAATCATGAACATGGCTGAAGTTCCACAAAAGGCTAGGGGTCATACCTAATAAAGGCCAGTTGATGGGCATCGAGGATTTCCGTGTTCTAAGTTTATAAAAAATACAAATGGAAATGAAGCAGGCAAGGGAAAAAATTATATCTTGGGTTTCCAGGATTAATGCCATGGTGATCGATGTGCAGATTGTGTTTGATTAACGGTGTATTAATTTATAGCCAACCTTTATGCACAATTATTGTGTTTGGTAAAGAGCTGATTTATACAACTTTAATGCAAAATAACCTTCGCTGCCGCCCAAAATGTACATCATATGTCCCGTCAACTTCTAGGCTGGTGTTGCCGTCCATAGTGAGGTTAAATTCAGGTGAAGGCGAGGGTAGAAAACCAGATAAAACCCTAATTAAAAACACGTCATTGCTGAAATGAAGGTTGAAGTTTATTTACAGCCGGAAAAAATTCCACTATTCGACATACTTGACAACAGCACGTGCCAAGAAAAATCCGATGTCCAGACATGCATTTTTAAATGCAAATAGATCAAAGCGGCCCAAGTGTGGTATTTGATATATAATATAGGCATGCAGCATATGCTAGTACATAAAAGTATACCTATATCGCTCAACATGTTTAGACTCTCCACGCATAATCTATCTTAACAAACCACATCAAAAAAAAAAAACATTACACTAATGATGAGGCCTAGCGACGTACCCGGTCGTCGGCATTATGCGACAACGACTTCATGTCATTGGAACAGGTTATAACACTAGTACAAAACGTATTTTTTAGTGCGATGAGGTTTTTTTTTTGGTGTGGTCGTAGCCTAAAACCGCATCATTAAAACACTTTAGCATTAATAAATCAAGGAACCGCACTAACAAATGTATTTTTTGATGCTATTTTCTTTAAACGCACTAATAAATGCATTTTTTGATGCTGTTTTTCAAAATCGCACTAATAAATGTATTTTTTGATGCGGTTTTCTAAAACCGCACTAATAATAAATGTATTTTTTGATGCTGTTTTCTTAAAAAGCACTAATAAATGCATTTTTTGATGCTACTTTTAAAAATCGCACTAATAAATGTATTTTTTGATGCCGTTTTCCAAAACTACGGTAATAGCAAATGCATTTTTTGATGCGGTTTTGGATTGAGTTCCCTCTTTATTTTTGTTCCCGGGCTGAAGCTCCTTCCAAAATTTCATTCCCCGCGCAATGTCTTTTTCTTCCCCTTTATATTTCCTTAATCTAATTTCATTTGGCCACATAAACCCTAATATCATCGACTACCGCCGCCCTCACCAACATCATTGGGTCCTCTCACCCGTGTTTGCATCATCGTCGATTCGGGCTGCCCCAGCCTCCATCATCTCTGATTTCGGTCGACCCCACTCCTATCGTTGCTGATTCACGACTTCAGGTCAGCAACGTGATGAATCTGAATAATCTTTGAGGAGTCGACCTCCACTATAATCATCTTTGCCCATCGCGATCAACCTAGCGTCAAGACTGTCATGTATGTTTCTGATTTATAATTTTGATTCATAAAATTACTTAATCTATATGTCTGATACTCTGATTTCTTAAGTTAGGTTGTGGAAGAAAGAAGGGGTTGGGCAAAGAAGCTTGTGACGTTCAAAGGAGAGCACATATCTATGCAGGGGAAGATATAAAGGTAGAAAAAACCTAAAAAAAGAAAGAATCTCATGTCTTTTATCTACAAAAATTGAATCAATGCAAGTTTTTTCCTTTGTATTGATAATATTTCTAACCTGTGTAATTTACATTTTAATTAAATGGATTGTATGCCTTTTGATAAAATTACTTTATAATTTAATTAGTTTCTGAATTCCTACCCAAGTGAGGTAACAGAGTCAAAGGTGGGCATCATCTCCAAAAGTCTGCAAGATACCAAAGAGGGGTCATATGAAGATGGTGATAACGAAACTGAACACGTCTATATCAAAAAAACTTGAATATGCTTCTGTAGTTAACTTCCTAAGCAACTTACATACCTGAAGTTATTATATCAAATTGTAAATAGATACAAGGATGAAAAGGTTAGAAAAGAATGTGATTTTTTATTAAGATAATTTGAATCTCTTGTATGGTTTGTGCCTTTACATCTATTATGATTTTTTTTTTTTTTTTGTTTCTGTATTGTAAATCAAGCAGTTTATCTTTGTAATGGTGGTGTTCTTGAGGTTTTTATTTTATTTTATTTAATGGAGCGGTTCTAGCTTTTAGTAGTGCGGTTGTACCCCCTTTTTAATGGAAAAAACATTTGTTTTTTGGTGCGGTTGTTCTATCTTTTGAGGCGGTTTTATAACCGCATCAATAAATAAGACTATTTTTTAAGACGATATTTTTTGAGGCGGTTCAATAACCGCATCTATTAATCATTTTAACCGCATCAAAAAACTCTTTTTGTACTATTGGACATACTTGACAACAACACGTGCCAAGAAAAATCCGATGTCGAGACATGCATTTTTAAAAGCAAATAGATCAAAGCGGCCCAAGTGTGGTATTTGATATATAATATAGGCATGCAGCATATGCTAGTACATAAAAGTATACCTATATCGCTCAACATGTTTAGACTCTCCACGCATAATCTATCTTAACAAACCACATCAAATATATATATTTAAGCTAATGATCAGGTAAATTTCACCATATATGCCGCAGTCACCAATGGTTTAAACACTGAAAGTCTACACATTACACTAATGATGAGGCCTAGCGACGTACCCGGTCGTCGGCATTATGCGACAACGACTTCATGTCATTGGAACAGGTTAGTTTGTATATATATATGTCGTCGATACATCTTGGTGGGAGGAGGAAAATTAACCCGTGTTTCTGAAAATGTGTCCGGACGTAAACATATATAAAAGTAAATATCATTAATTTATATTATGTAAATATTTACAAGAATTGAATACGGGCCAGCGGAACACAAGCACTAATTAAAGGGGGGAGATGAAAACTTCAAAACAAGCGTAAAGCGTAAGAAAGGCTTCATGTTTTATTATTGGATCAATTATTATTAACTCGAACACAATGATTTAGGGATTATTTTTATCCAAAACAATTCACAGTGGCTCTTCCAGATCTTAGGAAGACGTATATGCATAACATAACAAAATCAAGTAATAATTAACATAAACATAAAATAAAAACTAACTAATAATTTTGTTGAACAGTAGCAACACTTTGTTGAGTCAAAAAGACAACTCCAACTTCAAACCATGATCCAAAATACATTTGCTTCAAAGGGAAAAATCGAAGTATGATGTTAATAAGAGAAAACACAATTGGGGTTTAGGTTTTCTCCACCATTAAGCCATAGAACAAGTAACATTCCAAAAATCATAATAAAAAATATATTATTTTTTAAAATTAATCGAAAACATTGTTTTCAACCCAAATCATATCAAATCAAGTATCTAATACAAATATCCCCAAGATCAATATAAAATTTCCCAAAACATATTGTCAAACGATGTGTACGATCATGCCTTCGACTTGCCCCGGTCATCCGAAGTACCTGAAATCATAAGTCAATGCTTAGTGAGTTCTCCCAAAGTACCACATAGCACAACCAAACAGATATACAAAATACATGTTGGGTCCATAACCTCCCGGTTGGCTTACCCTGGCCATAACCTCTCAGTTGGATTGCCCTGCAAATAGCGTACTAGGTCCACAACCTCCCGGTTGGATTACTCTGGCCCATAACCTTCCAGTTGGATTGCCCTGCAAATAACGTACTGGGTCCACAACCTCCCGGTTGGATTACCCTGGCCCATAACCTCCCAGTTGGATTGCCCCAGGTTTGTTGACTGGCCGCACAAAGCAGTACAGTCTCAACTCATCCATACTATGTCGACATATAACATATAACATATATTCAACAAACAGATAATCATATAGCCAGACAACACACTTACAAGCATATCTACCGATCACTACCGCAAAATAACATCCTATATACCCGGACTCGGTTCTAGCAGATCAATGCAACATAGCAACACTCCCTAAACCAGGGTATATAACTTAGTGGGCCGACATTGGTGCCTTCGAACCGCAAGTACAGTGAGAAAAATCACCTCTCAGTCTGAAAAGATCTCTGAATAGGGTACAACTCTGAATGCCAGCTCAAACAGTCACCTATTCATCAAGAATGACCAATATCAAATACCACTCAAAATGCCCAAAATACCCGTAGGTCAAACTTGGTCAAACCCTGGTCAAAGTTCAAAGTCAACTCAACCAGTCGCCACATCGTTGTTAGCTCCAACCACGACGTGGTGACTAGAAGACGAAACAGTCGCATGGCAGCCATCACCACGTCGTGGTGACTATTTACCACGTCGTGGTGACTGTTCAGACCAACTAATTCCAATAAGCTCTTAATCCATCAAGCCAACCATTCAAATTTCCCATAAGGCATTCACTCATCCAATGAACCATAAAAATCGTTGCTTTATAGACATGCATGTCCAATGCATGTCTTGAACTCAAACCAGGCCAAGATAGAGTAAAAAGGGGCCAAGATCACATTTAAGAGTTCAAAACTATAAGAAACCCCAGATCTAACACTCCTAACCACAAAGTGACTCTAGGATCCATAAAGGTGGCACCTTTTTGGGAACCCAACACTCCAATAAGTCCCAACATGAAGAAAAATGATTAGAAACCTAGATCTATGCACAAGGAACTAAAAAGCATGGAACTTGAGGACTTACAAAAGTCCAGAAGATGCACAACAAGAAGATGAGGAGAGTCCCTTGCTGAATCCTGAATCCAAGCCTAAATGTCACCTAATTTTTCTTCTAATGACCAAATCAATACTAGAGGCTCAAAAAGCAAGTTGGAGGTTAGGGTTTGCGCGGGGGCTGAGAGAGTGTGATGGAGGCTGAGGGTGAGAAATCCTAGCCATCACATTCCCTTAAATAGGGGCGCAAACCCTGGATATTAGGGTTTCTCATTAAAACTCCACCACGTCGTGGTTACAGGACACCACGTCGTGGTTACAAGACACCACGTCATTGTGGTGATTT